CACCAAAAGTGGCATGTTAAGTAGTGAGCAAAGATTACCTACCTGTGCTATTTGAATAAATTTTTCCTGAGAATACTGAGGTAGAAGCACTTTTGGAATATCTTTCAAAGCGTCCACTTGGAGATACAGATTGAGCCAGGAGATGATTGTCACTGGGCACAGTTCCCATTTTAAAGCCTACAGATATTAAAATATAATTTTCTAAGCACTTAAAATGCATATCCATTCTTCCCCCACCAAAAAATATCAACCAAGTTCTATACCTCCTCCTCTCCTGTCTTACCCAATCTCCTGTCCCCCATTTTCATCCCCAGTTAGGTCAACTAACCTAACATGCACCTATATTCCTGAGTCACATTCAGGATACCTGACAATTTCAAGCAAATGTGTGCTCCAGAAATAACTGTCTTGACATTCAGAAACAGAATCTGGACCACATCTGAATTTCAGTAACAGCTTAAGAACAGCCAAAACATCTTTCCTGACCCTTTGCCTCCCCCACCCTCTCAAAAGGAGGGCTTTAAAAAGAAAGAAAGAAAGAAAGAAAGACTGGGCAAATGATCCTCATATAGGAAAGGCATATAAATGCTGAGGAGCCAAAAGACACATTCTAAAGATGTTCTGTGGCTTTGGAACTGGACCTTTAGTAGCTGCAGCCTAAAGCAGATTTAGTTTGGGAGGATTTCTAAGTTGATTTTGGTCTAATCAAGGCCCCCCCAAAAAAACACCCCCACAATTCTCTACAAAACAAGATTACTGTTTCCCACCTAACTCTTTTGGAAACCTTGACATGGAAGCATACCACTTGATAGACTGCTCAAGACCTAGGACCCTGGAAGCCCCAACTGTAGAGCAGTCCACCTGGTTGGCTGTTAAGAAACCATAAGCCAGGGCTCCAGGTTGTCTGTCAGCCTGCCAGGTGGTCTGCTGAGAAGTCAAGCATGTAACTATTACTTTTCGAATGATTCTACTAGAAACCAGGCTGGTTTTGAATCCTACAGTGATGCAGAACAATTGGATTTCTCTAAAAAATTCTCAGCAAATATCTTCAGGTAGTCTAAAAGACTGTAGGGGCTATTTCAGTAGTTCCTCTCCACTTGCAGCATTCCATCTTCCAGACAAGACTATTAGAGGCAGCAACAAAAGCCACTTTCCACTACAGTTCTCAGAAAACAAATGTAGAACTTAGGTGGCAAAGGGGGACCCTTAAAGAGACCTCCACCCTAAAAGTGGACACCAACTTTTGAGATTGAAAAATTGCATTTCAGAAAGTTAGAAATGAGGTCCTTTTTTGGGTAAGAGATGGTGAAAAGGCACCAACAGAGCAGTCATTAAATACTGTAAGATGCTATGGGGCTATCACTCAGCCAGCTAGTAGAAATAGTAATTGTTACATTACCTTTAATACAATGAGCTCCATTCTTATAATATCATCTTCGCTACAAGCACCATCTGTGACATAGGCAAATTCTTGTAGTTTAGGAGCATATATCTCCTAAAAACAAAAAACAAACAAACAAAAACAAACAAACAAACACACACAAATTCAGGACCAGAAGGGCTTTTGGATCCTGCAAGAATGCAAAACAAACTGCAGAAGACATCTGTGAATCTTTTCAGATTTACAGACAGAACCTCATGTCAACTCAACAGGCACTGTATTTCAGCTATTTCCTATGGTAATACAGATGGTATAAGCCTTTCATATTTTGTATCCACAGAAAGTGAGCTAGAAACTAGTAATGCAGAACCATTAAATAAGTAGACACTATGTATTTCAGAGAGAGGGGAGTAAGGTTGACTAGAACAAAAGTAGTATTTCCTGCTTTCATCACTGTAGTCTAAAAGTGTCACCTGCTCAGAAAATTCAGAGACCTCCCAATGAACTCTGTTTAATTCAAACACCATTTATGGCATACTTCAGATCAGAGCGGGAAACCTTTTTTTGGGCAGGGGCCATTGATCCACGGGGGGAGGAGGGAATCAGTCAGGGGCTGCACACAAGTGAGAAACAAAAACAAACAAAAAAAAAAACCACCCACACCATTCCTCACTATCATGGACTCCTCAGTTCTTGCAGTGGGAGGGGCAGGGAGAGGAAAGAAGCCCCAAACCTGAAGGTCTGGACCCAGACAAGCCAAAGGCTGCATCCTGTCCCCTGGCCTTAGGTTCCCCACCCCTGCTCTAGATATATAAATAGCTATATTAACAAATCTTTTTATCAGATGCATTTTATACCAGTAAAAGTGCTTTTACCGAAATAGCTGCATCTATCCTAAGGCATTGGCCAGTCTAAAAAAAATTGTTTAAGAGGATCATTAATTTCAAATCTCTCTTCAGACTATTCAGTAGTTTCAGATCCTACACCTGTTAGTTTATCATCTGCTGCCCTGTGGAAGGCCACAGAGGAAACTGATGGAATCTTGGACTATACAAAAGATTACAATGCTTAAAGTTAAATAACTTATCTGGGGATGTTAACTGTTTAACTAGTATTGATACAAGTATCTGAATCTCTTTTATGCTATTTACTGTCAAGATATTCCAACCCTAAAAAGACCATGCATATAGCCACTTACCTCAAGTTTGGAGGCAATGAATAATGAGGTAATTCCTATTAACTGAAGCATATTTTTATTGATATTCTTTTGTGTCAACATGAATCTATCAAAAAAGTCTTGGGCTAGGTAAAAGGTTTCCCTGTGAAGCATATATACTTCACACACCTAAAACGGAACAAACAAAATTGAGTTCAGTTTTCTGTTCTACAGCAAGATGCATTTTCCCCAAATATAAACATGTTAGTAAACCCATTTTAATGGTAAAACACAATTTTGTTCTTAATTGAACAAAGATTGCTATGTTATAAAATGTGTTCTACTTGCTATGGTTTATTGGGGTAGGGGTTAATCTGTTCCAAGCAGGTCACAAGGTACACCAGGTCTTAGTCTTTCATTGAAATAGAATCAAGATGAAATAGAATCAAATTATAAGATGTTAGTTGTATGCCTATTTTACCTTAAAATGAACTGTAAAGAAGGCTAAGCCCACCAAAAAAACCCTCAAGCTTATTTAGGATTCTGCATTTCTTTTCTAACTTCAAGCAGATTTTAAGGAAACCACTGCCGCCTTCGGAATCGGTAATAACTTCATAACTACCTGCAACAATATTTCAAAAGGCATAAACTATTCCACCTACAATTAGTTTTAACTAGAACCCAAGTAAGTACTTCCCTTAAATATCATCACCACCAGCTATTTCACAATATAATACACATACTACCCAGGGCCCAGCCATCCTGTTGGCCCTGCTGGTTGGGTCAAGTACAGCTTAGTCTAGACTACAGTAAAAGGTGTGATGTTAGTACAGGTTTGACCTCCCTGGTCTGGAATCCACTAGACCAGACCCGACTACAGTAAAAGGTGTGATGTTAGTACAGGTTGGACCTCCCTGGTCTGGCATCCACTAGACCAGACCAGTCCCAGATGAAGGAATTTGCCAGAGGGGAGGTCCCCTGCCACCAGCCCCTCAGTCAACGTCCCCTCTGCCTGCTCCTCTGGGCCGCCACCCCTGAGCAGATCTCCCAGGCAACCCTGCTGGCCTGCACTCGGCTCCTAGCTGCTGGTCCTCCTGCCCTGGGGCTCTTGTCCAGGAACATGTGGTCCTCCCCAAATACAAATGTTGCCAGACCAGAGTGTCAGAGTACAACTGGTAAAATATGAGCAAAGTTTGACCCATCCCATTACACCCCTTTTTAAAATGGCTAGGAGTGTAAATGTTTTAAACACTAACTATAAACAGCATTAAGTTCAGATAATTTAATCTGAAGTTTCTGATGAATCAAGAAGTCCATTTAGGTTCTCTTTTAGAATTGGAATTTGAACTTGGTTATCCCACATCCCAGGTGTGTTCCTTAACCACAGGGCTAACGGCTGGGGAACACCAGCACCACCTTCTCTGGACATTTTGTGATCAGTCAAAACGATTCATGTTGAATTTCCAGGGATTTTACAGAACTTTATTTTTATCAAATAAGCTTATTTGTCTTAAAAAAGCAATTCAGCCTGTTCTACCCATAATACTACAAGGGCCAAAAACAAGGAATACTACTCCCCGCTGTATTCTAGAGGTTAGCAATGTCAAATTTGTTTCAAAATGTGGTTGTCTTTTATGTTTACACTATCACAGATATTAACACTTTATGTAAACTCTTTCCTTTACATAGATCTATTTTGCAGCCATAGCACTACAGGCAGTCCCTGGGTTATGTACAAGATAGGGACTGTAGGTTTGTTCTTAAGTTGAATTTGTATGCAAGTCAGAACTGGTACATATTGTAGGGGAAACTCTAGCCAAACATTTCTCCAGAGTTCAGTTTTATTCTCCCACACCTCACTTCCCTCACTCCTTTATTCTCAAGATGAGGTGTCTGCTGAGAAAAGCCGCTCCGTGTCTCCCTGGTCTGCTGGGGGGAAGCAGCTAGTGAGGGGTTGCCTCACCCCATTTGTAAGTAGGGATCTGATGTAAGTCAGATCCATGTAACCCGGGGACTGCCTGTACATAAAGTAACTCTCAAAATATACCTCCAACAGCCAGTCCAGGAGTATTGATCTCATTTGTGGTTGCAAGTTAGAATGTAGCGAAGTAAAATGTTTGCAGTGAGCATATTTGTTCTCCTTTTTCAGAATATTGAGCCAGACATCTTTCGAATTTCCCCAGCTATGGAATAAAGTCATTTGAACTTTTGAGACCTCTTTACAAAGACAGATAAGCATTTACTCTATGTGTGTTAGATTTAGGTTTCAATAGTCATCTGCTTATATGCAGTCAGAAAAACATATTAATAAAAAGATGGCAAGTTAGACAACTTCAGGCACACTTTGTTCTGAAATCCCAGAAGCAGCCTATCACCAGCCTCCCTCCCCTACCCCCGTCCCCAAGACATATCTGCATAACCCAGTGTTTCAAGTACACAGACATAAATCACCACTTGGGCAGGTAAAATAAGCAATTATGTTCCATCTGGTTACACAGTTCAGATTTGATTCATTTGAAAACTGGGCTTCCTAAGTGGTCAAATAAAAGATGACTAAAGACTCAAACCAAACTAAACTACTGGTGTTTAAATTCTATTCTTCATGCCCTTCCAGCTTCCTCCATCTTTTCTCAGTCTAGAAATATTAAGCATAAGCTATCAGCATAAATTTAACAAAGTAGACAGTTTTAACAAGGAAGCAGTTTAACAACTCATATGCAGGGCTTGAAAAAAGTCACTAGGGCAGGGGTTCGCAACCTTTTTCTTTCTGAGCTCCCCCTCTTCCCCCAATCTATAAAACCACCACAATTGTGTTAAACAGACCTAACCGCACATGTAGACATAACTAGGTCAAGAATTCTTACATCACTCTAGCTAGTGCCTCTCAGAGATGGATTATTACAGGAGACTTCCGATAATCTGGAACCTATGGGACCTAGGTGGTGCCGGATTATCAAATATGCCGGACTATCAGGAGGTACTACAAGCTGGTTATGGTTGTTTTTTTTATATATACATATACATATACATATACACATACACATACACATACACATACACACACAGTATACATTATATACTGTATATAAAGTGTTTAACCCTTTTTATTGTACATACTGTATACAGTAATGTTTTAGTTTTTTTAATCCTTTTTTACCCTTTTTGCTCAGTTCAGCTGCTGCCGCTGTTATCTTGTGACTCATTTTTTGCCAAAGCTCACTCACTAGGCTCTTGCCATTCTGATGCCGGACTATCAGGAGTGCCGGACTATTGGAGTTTTACTGTACTTGGATAGGTCTCTTTCTCTGACGTGTCTACGCTGAAGCATTTTAAGCATAAACATAGCCTAAGCAAGCGCTCCAAATACAAATCACATTAACTGGTGTACTGCTGTCTTCATCAGTCCTCACTAGTTTAAACTGTTAGCCAATGAGCCTGGGGAAGCAGGCGGGAGCCGGTGCTCGCAGGGAACCAGCTTTTAAGTTGGCTCCCCATGTGCACCTACTCCTGCAAAGCCACATCTCACCTCCCCGTAAAAAGGTGTAACCATTGAAAATGTCCGTTTACAAAACAATGTTAACATCCCTAGTCCTCACACTATCAGTTTCAGTGTTTGCTATTGCTCCTACTTCTGCCAAGCAGCAGCAGTCAGATTAATCAGGTGGGTCAGTTTAACTGCTACCCAGAGGATTCTGAATTGCCATGGCTTTTTGGCTGATGCCATTTTACTCTGCTGCTGCAAGATATAAGAACATGCACAGGCATTTGCTGGATTTATTCAAGGAACGGAGATCGCAAAAACATAATTAAAATATTAAAGAACCCTTTCCATCATCATCTTCTTACACCAACTAGTCAACTATGAAAAGCGCAGAAGAGAAAGTGACTTTCCTGTATTGCAACTGAAAAGGGTTTCAGATACTTATTAGCTAGACACGAAGTCCACAGGGCAGTGCCTATGCACAGTACTCTGGGGCTACGTCTAGACTGCATCCCTTTTTCAAATCAATCTCATTGAAATTGCTAATGAAGCAGGGATTTAAATATCCTGTGCTTCATTAGCATAAACATGGCCACTGCTTTTTTTTTTTTTCAATTTGAGTTTTCGAAAAAATGGCAGTCTAGATGCGGATCTGTCGAAAGTAAATCCTTATTCAACAGATCCTGATTCCCTAAAAAAAAAAAAAAAAACCTTTTTAAAAAAACCCCTTTTCCCAAAAAAAAAAAAAAAAAAAAAAATTACAGGATCTGTCGAAAAAGGGTTTATTTTCAACAGATCCACGTCTAGACTGCCTTTTTTCGAAAAAACTCCATTTTGAAAAAAGCGGCGGCCATGTTTATGCTAATGAAGCACAGGATATTTAAATCCCTGCTTCATTAGCAATTTCCATGTGCCTAATCTACATCTCTCTGTCAACAGAGAGGTGTAGTCTAAACACACCCTGGGAGACATCTCAGCACCTTTTCCAGCAAATAGAGAGCAGCATAAAAAGAGTTCAGCTTCTCATCAGGAGATTGCCCCTGGGTTCACATTAGGGATGTTAAAGACTAGTTAACTAGTTGATCCCCTTGCACCCCCTGCTGCCTCTATCAGAGGCAGCAAGGGCCGGGGAGGGGAGAAAAGGAGAGGGAAGGACAGGGCACTTAAAAAAAACAAACACAAAAAACAACCAGCACCACACAGCTGATCCCCGGTTCAGCTGTGCAGCACTGTCTCTTTGAAACACCGAAGTGGCGTTTAAAAGGGGCACTGCGGCGCAGCTGAGCCTGGAATCAGCTGTGCGGCATTTCCACAGAACCTGGGATCAGCTGTGGATTCTCCAGCTGATCCCAGGTTCTGGGGCAAATGCCTCACAGAACTGCAGTCAGCTGAGGAGTCCCTAGCTGACCCCAGGCTCTATGCAGCGCTGCCACTTTGAAATGCACAAGAGTCCCCACTGGGGACTCTTGTACTTTTCAAAGCTGGTACGCTGCATGCAGCCCAGAGTCAGCGGGACTTCCCGCTGGCCCTAGGTCGCAGGCAGAGTTCTGCATTCCTCTTTTGAAATGTACAAGAGTAATTCCATCAACTACTCAAATAGTAAAATAACTGATAGTTAACATCCCTAGTTCACATCCACCCATCCTCATCTGTCAAATCTACTGTGGGCTATTAGGCATCTGGTAAATTTTTCAAGTCCTATTCACATCATTCTATTCTTTAGAAAATGAAATAAGAGAAAAATGGAAACTATTCACTCATCCCAGTGGAGTATTAACTCTAAGACACCAGGCTAATTTACGTAACAACTTCTTTATACCTAGATCATTTAGCAGAAGTATCCTGCTAATATGCTTTCCCAATAAGGGTAAATTCCTTGTGTGAATGAGAGTGTTTTCTGCCAGACACAGAATAATGTCATTAGCGTCAACAGGCTCTCTTAGCAAAGCAAAAGCAGCCAGAGAGGAGGATAGGTGAGCGTAGCAAGCAGAGGAGGCAGCCCTCTAGTTTAGTATATACTTGAGGTAGTTTGTCTGCCTGTTCAATATTTCCTAAACAGTAAGGCTATGTCTACACTCGCTGCTTCTTGCGCTAGAACATGGCACTGTGGACACTTTCTTGCGCAAGAAAGCTCGGGTGGCCATTTTAGCCATAGGGCTTTCTTGCTCAAGAAATCCCTGCTGAGCGTCCACACTGCCCTCTTGCGCAAGAGCTCTGGCGCAAGAGGGCAGTGTGGACGCTCAGCAGGGATTTCTTGAGCAAGAAACCCCTATGGCTAAAATGGCCACCCGAGCTTTCTTGCGCAAGAAAGTGTCCACAGTGCCATGTTCTAGCGCAAGAAGCAGCGAGTGTAGACATAGCCTAAGAATTAGGACCACCAAATTCAGTATGCAACTTTCTCTTGTAACTTAAAGCTACATCAGGGTTTGGTTGTGCAAGGAAGATGGGAAGTGCCCAGAATGGGACTGCTTTGCATAAAACCACACAGAAGAAAGACAAAATCACCAGGTAGGTGAAAGCAACTGGCTGGGGGGTGTGCTCCCCTCCCCCCGCACCGCAAATCCAGGACTGCTCCAGCTCTGAACCTCCCACCCGCCAGGCACCCTTGCAGGGGGTGGGGGGGCTGAATTTTACATGTGATATTAAGCTACAAAGAATGGCTGTAATTAGAAAAGTGAATTTATCTTATGTGCATGTTCCCTCTCCCATTATAAAACTAGAATTTTTTGGGAGGGTAGGCGAGGGAGACTAGAGTGGATGGGATGAAGATTTCAGTTGCCTCTATTTATGAGCCCAATATTGGACACAGTTAAACTAATAGTATAAAATTTGTTGTATTATAATTCAGAAGTAATGATATGTAAATAACTTACCTAAGATCAGGCAACGGTGATGGATTTATGAAGAGGTTTCTGAACCTGTATTTTTTAAATCTGGAGAAATCAGTAGCTACCATTTCCTTGTGAGGTGTTTCAATAATTATGCAGGGGGAGATGCCTCCTGATATTGTGGGTGGCCAACAACTCTACAATGTAAACAAAACAATCCTTTTTTAAAAAAAGAGTGCTTACTTCCCCTGCCCAGTATGCTTTTGAGGCACATACTAAAGTATGTAACAGGACAGACTAAATCAAGAAGTTATTCAATAACTTCTATTGTGTGTGTACATGTTAAACTATCTAGCTTCAGCATCCTTCAAAAATTATTTAAAAAGCATAAGCACAATATGTAATTTATTTTAAAATTAACTTGCTCTTCAGAACCAAGAGTTGGTTTATTCAAGAGTTCCAGGATATACATACAGGTTTTGAAAGAACGCAAAAGAATTACTCTCTCGTTAAGGTGGAATCACCACATGTACATAATTCTGACAAAATAAAGCAAGCTGGCTTTTGGGATGTAAATAACTGATTTATCACACTAAAGTATAATTAATCCATTAGCTCAGTTATATGTTGAACAACAGTGTTCTTTTCAGAACCTAAATTGTCATGGGTAATAGCTGCCTACTCCACTATTTTTCGTCAGGGGAAGAGAGGAGGAAACAAGTGAACTCTCCACCTCAGTGGAGACTCGATAACCTATTACCTTCCAATTAGCTATTCAAGGGCAAACTACCCCCACATAGATCCATGATTAAATTCCAACCCGGCAGACTGAAATGGTTTTATTGCTGCTTGACAAGACCCAAACATTGTAAAACAATTGAAAGAAACCCAAAACTAGGGATCCACAAAATTATACACACAGGAAACTGTGAAGCAATATGGAGTCATCCCTGTAGTGCAAAACTTGTTTCACGAGTCTTTAATTTTGTTAAAGCTATACAGCCACTGTGGATCAGATCAATGGTCCATTTAACCCGGTGTCCCATCTTCAGACAGTGGCAGATGCTTGACTGAATAGAACAGGGCAATCATCCAGTGATTCATCCCATCATCCAGTCCCTGCTTCTGGTAGCCAGAGGCTTAACATCCAAAGCTTGGGGTGGTGTCCCTGACCATCTTGGCTAATATGCACAGATGGATCAGTTCTCCATTAACTTTTTAAATTCAGTTATATTGTTGGCTTTTATAACTTCCCCAAGCAATGAGTTCTGCAGGTTGACTGTATATTATGTGAAGTACTTTCTTATGTTTGTTTTCAACCTGCTGACTATACGTTCATCAGGTGACCCGTTTCTTATGTTATGTGAAAGTGAAAACAGTTATCAGTTAAGTTTCCACAATTAAAGTGACGGAACATCAAATCTGTATAAAATGTAGACAAATTAAAGTGAGCAAAGTCCCTAAAAAAGTAATAGGTGTGGCCACTTTGTCATAATGGGATTATATTGGCCTCAGGCACTAACCTGCATTTTGAAGAATAAAAAGTATGAATGATGTGCACATCCAATAAAAACCCCATTTAATTAGATGCAACTATCTGATTGCAGCTGGTTAATAAAGTAACTTTCACAGCTATATAGCACCTTCCATCTCTAGTTTTCAGAACATTTCACAATCATCAGCTACATCTACACTGGCATGATTTTCCGGAAATGCTTTTAACGGAAAAGTTTTCCGTTAAAAGCATTTTCGGAAAAGCGCGTCTAGATTGCGGAAAAGCATCCATAGCCAATCTAGACGCGCTTTTCCGCAAAAAAGCCCCAATTGCCATTTTCGCGATCGGGGCTTTTTTGCGGAAAACAGTACTGTGCTGTTTACACTGGCCCTCTTGCGCAAATGATTTGCACAAGAGGGCTTTTGCCCAAACGGGAGCAGCACAGTATTTCCGCAAGAACACGGACGATCTTACATGAGATCATCAGTGTTCTTGCAGAAATTCAAGCGGCCAGTGTAGACAGCTGGCAAGTTTTTCCACAAAAGCAGATTTTGCGGAAAAACTTGCCAGTCTAGACACAGCCAATCATGTTTAGCTTCAGAACACTTCTTTGATGTAATCAAGTATTTAGTCCCATTCTTTTAAACCCAGAACACACTGAGTTTCCATAAGGTCATAGTCAAGCCTTGTCTAAAATAGTTAAAATGTTATTTTAATCTGCTGGAGTTAAAATAAGAGGGCTTGCATTGGTTTAAGAGTGCCTTATCTCAGTTCCAAAGAGACTTCAAAAAAATCAAAATAAGCCTGATTTAAACTGATAAAGATCACCCACATAGCCTTTGCACCCTTTCAACTAGATGGGTTTAAAGCCACATCTTAAATTAAGCCAATGTAACATTCTTGTTTAGACAGGTCTTGGCATTAATGCCATTTTAAATCCACACGTATTTTAAATCTTCATTCCAGAATAACTTTCACATATAGATATGCCATCTCTGCTAAAGACTTATCATCCATAAGTTCTGTGCCTAAACCATGACGCTCACTACCTCAGTAAAGCAGACGTTTCCTCTCACTATCCAAACGACATCTTCTGGTGGCAAATACATATTTAAAAAAAAAAAAATTGTGGAGATTCCCCCATTTAGTTTCAATCTCTTTTGTATGCATGAATGCATTACCTTAATCTCATACTGATGTCTTTTAATGAGCTTTTCATCTTCTACTTTGATATCCTGTTGAGAAAGAGACATTAATTGATCAACGTCCCTCAACCACACTATCATGTGCGAAGTAAACCATCATCTTGCATCACTTCTTCCTGATGCGTTATATTGAAGAACAATTCTTCCCTACAGTGGCAGGTACAGGAAATAAGCCTTCCAATTCTGCATCAAGTTAGTCCTCTGCTTACCTCTGTTTTCCTTTTCTTGGTCTGGAGAGGCTCTGGTGCCTGCAGTGCTTGTGTAGACTCTTCCTGACTGGGGAGTGGCGGCGGCAGCAGTTGCTGCTTGGCTTGCAATCGACTACTGGAGAAGAGAAAAACATATACTGCATGAGAAGAGCAACTGTTGATGGATACAGGTTAGCTTGGTTTATGACGCTGACAGAAATTACCTGCGTCTTGACATCTTCCTTGGGTTGTAGAATCCCTTCCTGGAATGAGGAAAGAATAACTCAGTGCATAGACACAAAAAGGAGAAATACAGGACAAAATATGGACATTAACTCAGATTTTAACACCAAGGTTTGTTGTGGTGCACATTTCAAGCACTGGGTCTTACACTATTAGGCATCAGAGCATGAATATTTTACCAATGCAAAGCATGTGTGCACATATGTACAAATCCAGTATGCATGTATTTTATATCTATATAATTACACAAGGTAGGTTGTACATAAACCTCACTGCATATCACTAGTGTAAATCCACTGTTTCCAAAACACTAGTGCCTATTTATACCAAGTTAAATTAGTTCATTGTCTTTATACAAGGGATATGAGGGGAGGGTGCTTCATCTGGGGGCTGGTGAAGGATCCAAGAAGAGAGAGGGAACAGTAAGTCCAGGCCATTGCCTCAGGAAAGCTATCACGAAAGCTCATGATACCATCTATATGTTTTGTTAGTCTATAAAGTGCTACCAGACCATTTGCTTGCTGGTTTGTTGTTTTTTTTTTTTTTTTTTGCTGCTGTAACAGAGTAACCGGGCTACCCCTTCAAGCTCCATACCTTCAGGACATGAGTGTAAAATATTGCTCTATTATACATACATACCCACCTCCATTAGGCAAACATTTTATACACATTCATCTAATATACTACACAGTGTGTCTATACATAGACACAGTGTAGTAAACATTAAAAAAATACAACTACTCTGTGTGTTTATCTAGCCTAGGGCCAGAGCCAGATAGCTAGTCCCTTTTCCAGCTATTTCTGTTCCCTGCACTCCAGGGCTGCTACTCCTCTCCCCACCCCAGCTCTGAGGGGACCCTACCCAGGAGCCCAGGCTTCCTGTCCCCGCTCTGGCTCTACGAGCTGTTCCGACGCTGCGCGTTTCTGCGGCCCCTGCAATGCCGGTTCCGCGCCAATTTACAGAGAGCGGGGAAGAGCAGGCGGCAGCGGCCTGGGGCTGGGCTTTCCCTGCACTCCAGGGCTGCTACTCCTCTCCCCACCCCAGCTCTGAGGGGACCCTACCCAGGAGCCCAGGCTTCCTGTCCCCGCTCTGGCTCTACGAGCTGTTCCGACGCTGCGCGTTTCTGCGGCCCCTGCAATGCCGGTTCCGCGCCAATTTACAGAGAGCGGGGAAGAGCAGGCGGCAGCGGCCTGGGGCTGGGCTCAGGGCGTCCCTCTGGTACTGCCTCCCCCGCTCCACCCCCGACCTGCCGGGACCCATCCCCCCGCATGTCACAAGGCAGGGGGTCCACGCGGGCGGGCAGTATCCTTCCCCTC